CGGCTGTTGATCTTCGACTGTCGCAACCTGCCGACTGTTGGAAGCCGGCTATTGGGCCTTGCGTTTGTTGTCATTCTGTTGTTGTCGCCGACTGGTGTCTCCAGCCGCAGTTCTGGGAGCCTGAGGGGCCACTTTGCCAGCCGCATTAACTTGAATTTCCGTCTTCATGGAGGAGTCGGCGGTGGCGTACTTGTCTACTATGACCAACAGTTCGTCGAGGATTTCTGGCTCATCGCAGAGGAGCTTGTGCTTGAGGAGGGTGCCTTCTCGGCACCCGACGGTGAAGTACTCGATAGCCTGCACCTCGTGCACGCCCTCGCAGGAGTTTCGAAGCTCGCCCCAGCGCGTGAGGTAGTCACGTGTTGACTCGTCAGGGCCTTGCACGCACAAGGAAAGCTGGCGCGGCTTGGGAGGTCGCTTGTATGTGCTCGTGAAGTTGCGGATGAAGGCTTCGGTGAAGTCGACCCAGCTGTTGATGCTGCGGGGCTTCAGACTGTTCAACCATGTCCGGGTCGTGCCCTGGAGCATGAGTGGAACATACTTCACGGCAACTCGCTTGTTGCCGTTCGCTATGCTGACGGCCGTGGAGTAATCAATTAGCCAGTCTTCTGGTTTCACTGAGCCGGTGTACTTGGGCGTGTCTCGGGGGAGCGTGAACCCTTTAGGGAAAGGCTCGTCTCGGATGCGGGGTCCGAAGCAAGGCGGACCCAGCTCATCTTCTTCTTCCAGTGCCAGGGATCGATGGAGTCGGTCGATCCGGTGGCGGGCGTCATTCTCTCCAACTCCCTCTCGGCGACCAAGGTGGCCACCGAGAGTCGGATGCTCAACAGGCGGCTGGGAAACTCGTCGTTCTCTTCTTGGCGGGGGAGACAGGTAGTCGTCCCGCCGCTCTACTGCTCTCGGACGGCCGTCTTGATCGCGCTTGATGGTGATGCGAGTCCGACTGCGACTGACAGTCGGCTCTTTGTTTTATCTTCCGCGGACTCCACCAGTCGGCGTCCGAGACATCGCGCCCTGATCTTGGCGGGGAGGCAAGTCATCGTTGGGTTGCTGCGGCGCATGGGTGCGGCCGCCGGCCGCGTTCTACGCAGCAACCACGTCGAGGAGCTGCTGGACTCGCTCCGTCATCATGCGGCGTTCTTCGCCTTCAAAATTCTTCAGGTCGTCAGTCGCCGCTTGGGCGGCACGGATGTTCTCCGCAGGGGTGGCGTATACGGGGCGATTGGCCCCGAACAAGTCGGCGATGGTCGTGCCACGTTGCCGGACCACGCCTAGGCGGCTAGGCCCAGTCGGAGCCGGCGAGCCGCCCACGGCGCGATCCATTTCGCGCTGGTAGGCTTCTGACAAGCGCCTCATGCTCGCCAGCTTCTTGGCGCCTTCGATGATCTGAAGGCGGCGTGTCTCCAGCGTCTCGGCGTCTGCGTCCTCTGGGATGGGCGCAGTTAGGTCTTGCAGGGCCGCGTCGAGCGGGTCCTGAGCTCCCTCACCGAAGCGCTCATTGTGACTGATGACGAGCACCTCCGTGACGGCGCATCCGCCGCTCTCCTCGTGAGGAAGCGGCTCGTCGTGGACCACCACGTTGGTGGGGAAAGTGTCGAGCGACACGGCATCGGAGTCGACCAGCATCGGGTCGGTGGAGCCTACGGACTCCAAGTCCACGACAGGCTCGCCGGTGACGTGGAGTTGGTCGAGGAGGCCCGCGAGGACGCTCTCGGGGCCACCCGTGCCTGCGTCGGATGCAGGCTTGTCGGAGAGGCGAACCTCGCCGATAAGTTCGGTGAGGCAGCTCGCTGCACAGGCGGCCTTAGCGCCGCGCAGCGCATCGATGCAGACTCCGTCTGGCGAGCCTGGCTGGCTGCACTCGCCAGGGAGGAAGAGGGTTCCCGTCCAGAACAGATCTCCGGACGACGGTGCACCATGCCCCACGGTGGGCGCCAAATGTCGGGGGTTGGGTGCGACATATGCCAAAGGATGGCTTATCATGGTGGGGGCGAGTAGAACGTCGCCAGTGCCTGGAAACGGGATGAGGCGAAGACATGCACGCCGGCGGATCTTACCCAGCTTCAGGGCTCTCCGAGGAGGTAACACCCCTACTGCTGCTCTGCGGGGTCTCCGCATGATCACTAAGGCAAAGTGAATACAAGCTTGCTCCTAGAGCTGTTTCTGGAGGCAGGAGAGGGCAAGGCTAGCTCTCTCCTTCCTATATGATCTGTCTAATGCTAATGGATGCCAACCCTTTGCATGGGTGCCCTAGGGGGTTTATATAGGCCTACCCCCCAGGGTTACAATGGTAAAACTGGCTGGGTGCGGGTCCCAGCCGTCTGTCTCTCAGGCGCCGTCTTCTCCGCCGACTCCTGGGGCCCGCCGACTGGTGGGTCCCGCCGACTGGCCTGGTACGAGGGCGTCAGCCCGTGTCCGTCGCGGGCGGGTCTTGCCGGCTGCAGATTACTGTAGCCGTGCTTCTAATGACGTGGGCTTGGTCATGGGGTCATGGCAACAGTGCCGCCGCCTGACGGGCGATCACTGTTGCCATTCCCCTGTCGCCTCTGGTTAATGGCGCGTGGAACCCGTGGGAGGGGCCGGCCGACTCCAGGGGGCCGACTCCCAACGGGTCCGACTCTCGGTGTTCTCGTCGTCTTCAATACTCTCGCTGACTGGTAGGCCCCGCCGTCTCCGGGCCGTACAGACAGGAGGTCGTGGGTACAGGGCCTCACCCCAAGGGCTGATGTCAGGGCTGGCATGGCAACAGTGCCACGCCTGGCGGAGATCTCCGCGAGTACGGCGCACTGTGGCCATGCCTGCCCGTAAATGACTGGGTGGTTGGAGTCGCAGGCTGACTTCCGTAGTCGGCCCTCTTGGATTCGCCTCTGGGACTCGGCTTGTCTTGGAGTCGCCTCCGGGACTCGGCTTGTCTTGGAGTCGCCTCGGGGACTTGAGGGGCATAGTCCGTCCCGATGTCTTGAAAGGTTCTGGGGCTCGGGTTAGCCTACTCGTGGCCCATTACTCCGACAATTTCCCATACTTTCTTGTGTGGATTTTGTTACTCTTGGGTGCTTGGGCGCCCTAGACGGAAGCGGTCACTTCGGAGCCACATTCCATTGTGGTGAAGCTCCGGGGTTTCGTTGGGAGCCTCCAATTAAGTTGTGGAGAGAGCCCCAACCTTGTTTGTAAAGGTCCAGTTGCCGCCTTCAAGGGCACAAATAGTGGAATCATGGCATCTCGCATTGTGTGAGGGCGTGAGGATAATACGGTGGCCCTAGTGGCTTCTTGGGGAGCATTGTGCCTCCACACCGCTCCAACGGAGACGTACTTCCCCTCAAAAGGAAGGAACTTCGATAACACATCCTCGTCTTCACCGGCTCCACTCTTGGTTATCTCGTACCTTTACTCGTGCAAGCTTTTTGTGTTGTATCCTTTGCTTGCTTGCTTGTGTGCTTGTTGTTGTTGCATCATATAGGTTTCTCACCTAGTTGCATATCTAGACAACCTACTTTGATGCAAAGTTTAAATAGGTAAAGAAAAGCTAAAAATTGTTAGTTGCCTATTCATAGAGGATTTGTGGACACGGTGCAATTGATCTCAACTCTAGGATAGCTTTTTTTTGCGGGTAACTCTAGGATAGCTATACACATAAAAGTAAAGAATAATAACCTTCTCAATTCTCACCTTCCAAAAGTTAGAAAAGATAAGTAGGAGTCCGCTGAAAAAGGCAACAATGTCAACATGAGAACAAAGTGAGGTGGGGAAAAGAGGCTAGAATGAAAAGAGAGAAAAAAAGAAACATGAACACACACAAAATGCTAAAAAGAAACATAGTTCACATATGATTTTTTTACTTGTAGAAATCATATTTTCAAGTTTTGAGAAAATATATATCCGTATGAACTTTTCTGCTCCATCTGATCCATATTAATTAGATTCATCCGTTTGAGCGACATATAATTTGGATTGGATTTATTAGCAAGCATAACCATTTTAAAAAATAGGAACAAAGTAACCATTTACTACCTACAAAAAAAAAAGCATAGCCATTTACTCCCTCCGTTTTTATTTACTTCGCATATTAGTTTTGGTCAAAGTCAAGCTTTATAAATTTTGACGAAGTTTATAGTAAAAAATATGAACATGTACAATAACAAATCAATACCATTACATTCATTATTGAACGTACTTTCGCATCATATAGATTTGTTAGGGTAAATATTTATATTCTTTTCTACAAACTTGGTCAAACTTTAAAAAGTTTGACTTCGGTCAACTCTAATATACAGAGTAAATAAAAACGGAGAAAGTACTATACCTACGGAAAAAAAATCACAAGATAAGTACAAGTCGTATAATAACTTATTTTGTGACATAATCTTATCGCTCAAAGCCATTTTTGCATAATGATTGCATGCAAATTTTTTGAAAAGTCAAACCTAACAAAATTTGACCAAGTTTGTGAAGAAAAACATTTACATCTAGAATGTCAAACAAACATATATCATCAGATTCATCATAAGACAAGACGTAGGTTCATATTTTATATATTTGATAATGTAGGTTTAAGTAGTTTTCTTTATAAATTTGATCATAATTTGCAAAGTTTGACTTTCAGAAATCTATATGCACTACATTATTAAACGGAGGGGATATCTATCCTCCATGTGTATATGAATTTTTTCATAAGGCTCAATGTATTATGTATTTTTTTTAAATGTATTTTGTATGGTTGAAAGACGTAAAGACCCCTGGGATTCAGCGATATTGCAATTTGGGGAGCCTCCATTCGCATCGCACCTGCCATTCCCCATTTTTCCTCTCCACTCACAGCGGACCGGAAAATCTCTCCGGCGGCGCCGCCGGCGAAGCGCCATCCTCTCCGGTCTCTTCTCCTCTTCTCTTCCTCCGTGCCTTCACCTGTCTCGCCGGGGCGCCGCATCCCCGCCACCGAAGCACCATCCCATTCGCACCCGCCCCCATAGGGAATCAATCTCTCCGCCGCCGCCGGCGCCGCCATGCTCCGCCTCCGTGGCTGCATCCTCGTGCGGCTCCTCTCTTCTCCAGCCACCTCTCAGGGCCCCCCTCTCCACCGCCCCCTCTCCGCGGCCGCCGCGCCCGCCGTTTCCCCAAACCCTAGCTTCGTCGTCGACGACTACCTCGTCTCCACCTGCGGCCTCACCCGAGCGCAGGCCCTCAAGGCCTCCGCCAAGCTCTCCCACCTCAAGTCCCCCACCAAGCCCGACGCCGTCCTCGCCTTCCTCGCCGGCCTCGGCGTCTCCGCCGCCGATGTCGCCTCCCTCGTCGCCAAGGACCCGCTGTTCCTCTGCGCCAGCGCGGAGAAAACCCTGGCCCCCGTCGTAGTCGAGCTCGCCGGCCTCGGCCTGTCGCATTCCGAGATCGCGCGCCTCGTCCCGCTCTCCTTCCTCCACTTCCGCTCCAGGTCCATTGTTTCCAAGCTGCAGTACTACCTGCCCCTGTTCGGCTCCTCGGAGAACCTCTTCCGGGTGCTCAAGCTCGGCTACCTCGCCGGTGCTGACATCGAGGGGACGGTCAAGCCCAACGTCGCGCTCCTACGGCAGTGCGGGCTAGACGACTGCGATATCACCAAGCTGTCCCTCACTAAGCGTGGAGTCCTGAGCAGCAAGCCAGAGCGCGTCGGGGCGATGGTGGCATGCGCCGAAGGCCTTGGCGTGCCTCGTGGCTCGGGGATGTTCAGGCACGCGTTGGATGCTGTCGGATTCATCGGTCAGGAGAAGATCGCCGCCAAAGTGGCCTACTTGAAGAAGACTTTCAGGTGGTCAGACGCTGAGGTGAGCATTGCTCTGCGTAAGGCTCCGTGTGTGCTGAGGAAGTCAAAGGAATTACTGCAGCGCAGGTCTGATTTCCTCATCTCTGAGGTGGGGTTGGAACCGTCCTACATTGCTCAACGGTCAGTAATTATCAATTACAAGCTGGAGGGCCGGATGAAACCCAGGTACTACGTTGTAAAGTTTCTCATGGAAAATGGATTGCTCAAGTGCAAACCAGGCTACTACTATACCGCTTTCAAGGTGAGAGAGAAGGTATTCATGGAGAAGTTCATTTGCCCTCACAAGGAAGTTGCGCCGCACCTCTCTGAAGACTATGCAAGAGCTTGTGAAGGGGTAGTGCCGGCTAGATTCAGATTTACATGAACCAAGGACTGGGTTCTCACCATGCCTGCGAAGCTGGTAATTCACATTAGTGCTTTTTGTCTAAATAAATGTTGGGTTTCTGCTGTATTATGTCTGCCACATGCTGGTTTGGTTGTTGTCAATGCCTAAGGAAACTGATAATTTAGTTCCTGAGCCTTCAGGTGTTAATGTTGTCATTAGGTAGACAAGAAAGCATCGCTTGCAATCTCTGAAATGAGAGTCATGAATATATTTGTCTTTCCGACATCCATTTAGGATAATGGAAGCTGTATATGTGGGTAGACCAATTTTCTTTTGAAACCAGAACCCATGAACCAGAAAACAAAAGAACTGTACCACATCCATTTCCAGTAAATATATCGATATGATTTGCTTCCGCTCCAAATATTATGTTTCCATTTTCATTTATTTGCCTTTTGTTTTCCATCATCTGCAGTTCAGTTTTTTATATCTAGGCCGTGCTTAGAAAGTGTGTTTCTATTGGGTGCCTTTAGATTTCTTTCCCCTTGTGCTTCTAAGATTGATTATCTTTGTTCCGATATCCTGTAGCTGATTTTACTCCGCTGAGAAAATTTTCGAACATGAAAAGGTAACCTATTTGGTACTGAAGCATGATCTATGATGAAACATCATTTACATCTGCCATTGATCATCAAAACTGAAGGGGAGCCTTGGCGCAGTGGTAAAGCTGCTGCCTTGTGACCATGAGGTCACGGGTTCAAGTCCTGGAAACAGCCTCTTACAGAAATGTAGGGAAAGGCTGCGTACGATAGACCCAAAGTGGTCGGACCCTTCCCCGACCCTGCGCAAGCGGGAGCTACATGCACCGGGCTGCCCTTTTATTGATCATCAAAACTAAATCAATGGAGATGACATGAATTAGTCTTATCATTTCTGCTATTCAGTGCTTGCATATTTGAGTATCTCATCACAAAATTACATTTATTTATTTCTGCTACAGTATCTAACATGAAACTACATGTATATCAATTTTGCAAAGCTTGAAAGCTCAGCCCAATTTTCGGCTCTGGGCAGACCTGCAAGTCTTTCCACAACACTGACGCCATCTATGGCCCATTCTCCATCCTGACATAAGTAGCAAATTGTTGTGTTTAGTGACCAATTCTGTGTTGTGATCGTGTCCAATGGTTTCAACAGGGCTAACTATCCACTCTACTATTCCATACCATGATATATATCATTCTGTTGAGATTGATGAGTCAGTATTCCTCTGCTAAAACTCATGAAAGATACTTGTGATTGATGACACGCTCATTTCAGTCCAAAAGAAAAAGAAGAACACTTTTGCATAAAAACTCCAAATGTCAACAGCTGATGATTGGCAAGATTAACAATACCATATGTTCAGTTAAAACAAAAATTACAGTAATGCTCATTGATGAGCATTAATTCCCTGTCCAGCAATTCATTTTGCAATTATAGTTTCCGTGCCTTGGTAGGGATTAAAAATATGTACATTTGTCAGTACCCATCAATGTTTATCTCCATGAACATTCAAAGTTCTGTGGTAAGAGCAAGAAGTGTTCAGATACGGGTATTGTAGCTGAATTTTATTTTGCGATTGTTGTGCACTCTGTATCCACTTTTGGTCACACTTGTGATATGAGAACTGAGATAAACCTTATAGACTACGCTGACGCTTGCAGAGGGGTAGTTCCGACTAGATTCAGATTTACATGAGCCAAGGATGGGTTGTGGAAATTGATTACTGTGTATGATATGACAGAGTTCTCACCATGCCTACGAAGCTGGTAATCACATTAGATCTTTCGCCTAAATAGATGTAGATTTTGTGCTGTAGAATGTATGCCAATTTCTGGTTTGGTCGTTGCTAATGCCTAATGAAACTGACAATTTAATTCTTAAGCCCTGAGGTGTTAATGCTGTCATTAGTAGACAAGAAAGCATCGCCTACAATCTCTGAAAATGAGAGTCCATACATATATTTGTGTTTCCGACCACCATTTTTTAGGATAATGGACGTTGGATGTGTGGGTAGACTCATTTTATTTTGAAACCAGCACCTAGAGAACCAGAAAGGAAAATAACTGCCTTGCATTGTTTCCCAGTAAATATGCTTTCCACGAATTTTCTTTCATTTTATTGGTTTTTGCTTACTCCCTCTCTCTCAGTTTATAGGGTGTGCGCGTATCCCTAGGTCGTCAATTTGACCAACCTAATACAAGTCATATATTACAAAAAACATACCAATATAAACTTCAGATGTTCTATTTTCAAAAGATATTATTTTTATGTTATATAGTCTATATTAGGATGATTAAATTGACAACCTAGGTGTACGCATAGGACTTATAAACTGAAACGGAGGTAGTACCACCATATGTTAGTTAGGAGTAACTCTGCAGCTCTTCTATTAAAAATATGCTTAGGAAATATGTTTCTATTGCGTGATCTTCTATGCCTTTTGATTTCTCCCCCCTTATCATTGTAAGATATATCCTATAGCTGATTTTACTCCGCTCAGAAAATTTTCGAACATGAAAAGGCAACTTATTTGAGGCTGCAGCATGATCTATAATGAATTAGTCTCATCATTTACATCTGCCATTGATCATCAGAACTAAACTGATGGAGATGACAGGAATTAGTATAATCATTTCTGCTACTCAGTGCTTGCATATGTAAGTATCTCATCACAAAACTATATGTTTATATTTATTTATTTATTTATTTATTTCTGCTGCTGTATCTCATCACAAAACTAATTGTATATCAATTTTGCAAAGCTTGAAAGGTCAGCCCAATTTTTGGCTTTGAGCAGACCAAGTCTTTCGACGACACTGACACCATTTTTGGCCCATTCTCCTTCCTAACATAAGTAGCAAATTGCTGTGTTTAGTGATCAATTATGTGTTGTGATCGTGTTCAATCTTGAACGATTTCAAAAGGGCTAACTATCCACTCTCCTTGAAATTAGAGCATAACTACAGTAGCATGACCTCCTTGAAATTTTCATAAACTCGAAATTTATCTTTTCTGGTCCGTCAGTTTCATTTTACTCATAATAATATGCTTGTCTTGATTATGCTAAGTATTAGACTAGTCGTACCTTGCAAAATTTGCATTGGGCATTGTCCCATGATTTCCCGCCCTGTTTCCCTGCTGCTGCCACTAAAACGTGTTTAGATACATCCGTGTTTTAGGCAAATCTAAGACAAGTAGATAGGCTTGAAGATTACTCTGGACTAGTCCTGGCCATCTCAGGCCCGGCCCTGTCGGCCCACCCAGGCCCAGCCCTAAAATCCAGGGCCTAGGTCCGATGGGCTTGCCCATGGGCTGGGCTTTGGCCTAAGTTTTGAGCCCACCAGCAGGGCCTGGACGGGCTTGGGCTTGGCATATTGGCATTTTAAGGAAGATGCCCGGCCCACGGCCCTAAGCCCTAAGGGCTTTTCAGGGCTTTTTACCAGATGGGCCGGACTTGGGCTTGAAAAGTAGGCCCAATGGTAGGACCTAGGAGGGCCTGGGCCTCAGTTTTCTGCCGTGGGCTTTTTCAGGCCCGGCCTAAGCCCGGCCCGGCCCAAGCCCGGCCCGGCCCGGCCCATGGCCAGATATACTCTGGACAGTCAAAATGCATGCTGGCACATAATGGGGCTAGAAACAGAAGTATTCTACAGTTCCAACTCATCAAAAATAAAAATAAAATAAGTATTCTACAGTTATGCGCCTCTCCTTATTAAAATTTTCAAAAACTCAAGCATAATTTTTCTTTACTAGATTTCTTATAATTCCTAGGGTTTCCATCCAAGCCTGCGAAATCAAGCAGCAGCAGGCTGGTAATGATAATATCCATGCTTGGCTCGCTGCTTTATAATATATAAAGCGGGGAGAAACCCTTTTTCTTAATAATAATATCCATAATATGGCGATGCCATACCCCTATCAATAGATACGTCTGAATCACCAAGAGACTCCTTGGTGCGCTGCTGCCTCGCGGCGCTCTCCTTGATGTCGGCGAGGACGGACGGCGACTCGAGCACCAGCTCCATGAAGCCGACGGTGAGCACCACCTCGTTGAAGTTTCGGCATGCCGCCGCGAAGTCGGCGCACTCTTCCCTGAGCTCGGCGCAGTTGTACGTGCAGGCCCACCGCAGCATGTCGACGACGGTGCCCGTCGACATGCTGCCCAGCAGCCTCTTGGCGCACTCCCGCTTGAGGCCGTCGAGCGCAAACCTGTCCGCCGCCACAAGGAGGCGCCGGAGCGCCTCGAGGTCCGGGGGATTGTCGTCGTCGGGGAGCGCGTCCGTGTAGATGAACCGGAGCATGGCCTCGAAGGTCTTGGGCTCGATGTCCTCTAGGGTGATGGAGGCGGAGGAGGACTCGAGCATGGTGCCGAAGAGCTGCGCCTCGAAGACCGGGGAGCGGGCAGCGAGGAGGGCGCGGTGGGCGCGGAAGGTCTCGCCGGCGACCACGAAGGCGACGTCGGTCCAGGCGGCGAGCCCCGGGTCCAGCAGCCGGCAGAGCTGGCGGCCGATCTCGGGGCCGCCGGCCTTCTCCCGCGTCACCCTCACCCTCCACATGACCGTCAGGCCGCGCTCGATGGGGATGTCGGTGTAGTCGCCGATGAACTTCGGGAACCCGCACGACCGCTTCAGGCCGTGGTCGCCCCACGTGTAGACGTGCCCGCACTTCGCGTGGTGGGACGGCGGCGCGCCGTCGCCGTGCGCGGCGAAGGCGGTGAAGGTGGCCGTGAAGGCGCCGGCGTCCAGGGGCGAATCCACGTGAAGGACCATGGGGGCAAATGCCCCCACTCAATTTTGAAGCCCATTTGTACAAGGCCTGGTGTATAATGGAGCGCCCCCACTCAGCCCATGGCCTTTGCCCCCACTCCTTCCTCCAAAGCCCATATATAAGAAATAAAGCCCATTCTGTCAGCCCACTAGGGGTTCCTTGTCACGTACTCCCTCCGTCCGGTGAAGAGTGTACATCTATGAATTTTAGAACAAATTATGGAGTTAAGT